AGAATTCAAGAAGATGTGGCAGATTTTGCAAAATAGTCCATACTGGATTAACTTGGCAGCTAAAAAACAAGAGATAATAAGTTGTATCACAGCGGTCCCGAGGACTGCTAGTTAAAGCCAAGGCGATGTCTTGTGCCAATAGAATGGTCTTGCACAGCGTATTACACTACGTGTGGCTGTTCTTGTTTATGTAGCCTGAGTTATAGCGAACAGAAGTGTTCTCTCTGTCCACTGAGGAGTGAACAGATTTTCTCACTTCTGAAGCCTTACACATTTTAGCACATTTACATTTTCACCAAGGTAAGAACTTTAAAATTCATGAATTGCAGAAGTGACAAATGATCTGAATTTTTGATACAATTATGCCCCAAAAAGATTTCTAGCCACAAATGTGTCTTAGAAGCAGACGTTGTGCACTGCTCAACTGATCATAGAAAGATTGCCTGAGGCGCTGCCCTTGTTTTACTGCATTTGGCATTCTGCGCCAGCTAGCGGAATATGAAATGGTCAGAAGAATTCAGGCTCCTAAGAAAAGATTGAGATTTTGAGGGATGAGAAAGGAGTTTTAGCTTAGAGTAAGCACAAATATGCGTCAGTGAACGAGATTCATGGTTTTATTAGCGTCCAAAAAGAAAAAAATCAATTCATTTAAACATGAATTTTACTGGACCACTGTGAACACAACCAAACAGAAGATATCCTGCTAACATTTACTCAAGCGGGGGAAAAGGGAGATGAAGCACCAAAATTTGTCACACATCATCCACAGAACATTCAAGTGGGTGGAGAAACCTGATATTTTAAAATGAAAACCTTCTTATGACATCATGTTAGTCCATGTAGCATAGAGGCTGTGTCGGGCTATATAATGAACCGTATTGCCAACGGGAAAAGATGATGAGGTGAGCAACATGAATATAGAAGTGAATGGGTTGCAGCAAATAAATTGTGAAACCTTCAGATGAGTTAAAATAACAGCAAAGTTTGTGGTGTCATTTTTCAAGTACACCAACAAAAAACGTAGACATGTGTTTTCGACAGCAAAAAGGCATAATGAATGATATGTAAACACACATTACGCTTCATATTTGCATAAATATAAAAACAAGCTACAATGCGTCTCACATGATGCAAGATTACTTGATATGTGCATACAAATAATTCCAGCTTTAATGAATATATCACACATGCTAAACATTTTCTTATAGGCTGAAACTTCAATTACTTCAATACTTGTCGAGCTCATTGTGACATATTATAGAGCAACCGTGCCCTTATATAGAGCAAAGTAAAGAGTGCGTTAGCAAGCCGCACACAACGATATACACCAGCGCCCAATCATAAACATTATTGACCAGTCAATTCTTTCAGCTATTTGTTGATAGCATCGTGGTATCACAGCGTGCAATGCCGCTGCCACTGCAGACTTTTTTTCGTTGTAATACAAAGCGTTTGTGCGCGTTGGTGTCTGCATTCCTGCTAGCTGTAAAAGATCGCCGTTGCGCCAAATGCAACTCAAGCGGTACAACCTGTGCGCAGTAAAGACGGCGACAACAACAACAAGGGAGCGCGTAATTAACTTCGAACACAGAGGACTACGGCGACGCAACACTTGTGGTCGAAAAACGCATTGTGAAAATACAGCAGCCTCCATTTTATGATAAGCGCGGTGGCTTGAACGAACGCATCGAAGAACTCAGCGTCATCTGCTGTTGGTGATGTTTGCCGACCTCGAAAACTGAAGCTGCGCCAAACGGTTATCAGCCTCAACAGTCGTCGCATTGTACAACCAGAGTGCGCATCAAAGCCGCTCATGCAAAGCTCATGCGGCTAACGCTTGTGTTGCATTTTGGCGCCGGGCCGCCATTTCGCTCTCTGCTTGAAGGCGACAGGGGTCCCGCCACGTGCGGAGCGAGTGTGTGGATAGCGCGTGTAAGGGCCCTAATGGACGAGGCGGCAGAGGTGCCGTGCCGAGCGAACTGCAGGCGAGGAAGCGTGTGACGCCAACCCACAGCAACAGCATGGCCTACATGGCACGGCGCCAAGCCCAGAGGTGCGCGGCGCATTCGTACGGAGGCACAGCAATACGCAGGCTTCACATCTAATAAAGGTTTATGTGACCATTGGTCAGAAGGAAATCCGTCCTTCTTATGTGCGCAAAAACTCTTAGCACCTGTACTCTACTGTACCAGCAAGGAATTAAAATCAAGGAATGTGTAGGGGGTATTAGTAGTGATGGAGCAGATGTACCAACGTGCATATACCAGTGAAGCAGGACAAAAAAGACCGTGTGGTAGAGCTGTGAACTGCTTTAGCATACTGTCCTCTTTTATTACGACCTCGTAAGATTTATAAACTCGACGTGGCTGCCCCCTCCTTTTACTTCATTATACCACTGTTGTACCGCAATACAAAAACTATGGGGTGTAACAAAGCTCCAACCTCGCCCAGCAAAACATAGTCCCAGATATAGGTGCCTTACAACTGACAGGGGTAGCTAAAACTGGTGTTTTTTGGTGTCTGTTACGCTACACCAATACGTCTATGTTTATTTTTCTTTGCATTTCTTTCGTATGCACTTAACTATTTGAGTTGGATCAACATTGAAGCACCCATGCAGACGCGACCGCCCGCTTTGAACCGAAGTTGCTCTTCTCACACGCCCACTGCACAGACAGTAATAAATAGATAGTCAATTCAGCACTCGACTTCATACATTTTGCTGTGATGATAAAGCTTCGGGTACGTTTTGTCGTTATTAGCGAGACATGCCGCTTGCTTAGCCGCAACAGCTAAGCCTAACGCTTCATGGAAGTTCTCGGGCTTCGTCACCCGACCAAGAATGCTGTATCTTTAAATACCGGACAAGCAACCTCGCACAACGTTTCTACTTTGTCGGAAACAAAAAAAAAACGCACTGTGCAAGAAGATAGAAAAGGAGCCTTGCATCGGCAGGTGGAAGCAATGCATCGACGCAGAAGCAGCTACCCTAGAGCCACGCAAAGCATCGGAGATAAACAGCAACCATCCGTGTTGTTGTAATGAAGGAGTTCAGCCTTTCGATTCAAGTGCACATTAGCCTACAATCAAACAATTGCTCTTATTCTTGGCATTTACCATTCAGTCATCGGTATGATATATGTATATAACCACAAATGACATTAAATCAGTCTCCACAACATTAAATGTCCAGGCTATCAATTCTTTATTGCGTAGCATTTTCTGGTCACCCCTATGGCAAAGCCAGCCTCAGTGGTGTTGTCTACGCCCTCACTGCGTATGCTCGCGTCTACCAAATCGTGCCGCATGCTCCCGTCTCGTGCCAACCGTTTGCTTTCCATCATTCTCGTCTCGCAAGCCGGACGCAGGCAGCGTCGTGTTCATCGTCGTCAGCCACTGCATGACCAATTGGCATAAAATTTCTTGCAAGTGTTTAGCGGATACCACGCTTCTCCGGAGAATGACGAAAGATAGCATAGTAAATGGCGGCCTACTGCCCTTCAATTACAATTATAATGGCGTAATGGCTACCCGGCAAGTGTGCTTGAAGCAGTTGCTCAAAGAGAGTTAAGAAAAGGCTCTGAAAAGCCGCTCTTCCTACTTTTGTTGTGACTCTGTGGCGAACTCCGCGCAAGCCTGGCGTTTCTATTTTTGAATTTTTTATGTTAGCATTTTACTTTATGTTATTTTTGTAGTTTATAAAAAACAGATATGTATTTAAAAAACTGTAACCCAATACACATTTCTTTAGGTTCTTGATCTTGGTTTTTGATTCTGTATTTTCGACAGTGCAGTGTTTGTCTGATTTTGATAGTGTCACTTGATTTGTATTTTATAGTATATATGTATTTACTTGCTCTCTCTGCTATGCTTCCTTCTCGGGATATGCAGTATCAATAAATTAATACATAAATAAATCAATATGATTTAATTGAATTGTGGGGTTTAACGTCCCAAGACCACGCTATGATTATGAGAGACGCCGCAGTGGGGGGCTCCAGAAATGTCGACCACCTGGGGTTCTTTAACGTGCAGTTAAATCTGAGCACACAGGCCTACAACATTTCCGCCTCCATCGGAAAGGCAGCAACCGCAGCCGGGATTCGATCCCGCGATCTGCGGGTCAGCAGCCGAGTACCTTAGCCACTAGACAACCGCGGCGGGGAAATAAATCAATATGTACTCAAGTTGAAAGAAGGAAAGAAAAAAAAGAAAATAAAGAGAGAAAGAAAGAAACAAAGAAAGAAAGAAGCGATAGTTAGGCAATGCATACCTTATCTAGTGCTGATTTATCCTTTCGAGCTCCTGCATTTTTTTGTGATAGCGAATAACTAAATACTCTCGGTGAGTTTTGCGGCATCAAATTCATGTTTTCCGTAGGTGTATATGCATGTGTATGTAAATAATAGTGTGAAAGAGTTATTCTTTCAAGAGCTGGAGGGCGAATTCTAATCTAAGGCGCCACGTTATACGACTCTGCCGAGCAACATACACTCTAACAAGCCCCGCCGCGGTGGTCTAGTGGCTAAGGTACTCAGCTGCTGATCCGCTGGTCGCGGGTTCAAATCCCGGCTGCGGCCGCTGCATTTCCGATGGAGGCGGAAATGTTGTAGGTCCGTGTGCTCAGGTTTGGATGCACATTAAAGAACCCAAGGTGGTCCAAATTTCCGGAGCCCTCCACTACGGCGTCTTTCATAATCATATAGTGGTTTTGGGACGTTGAACCCCACAAATCAATCAATCAATCAATCAAACATACACTCTAACATACACCGCATACTACGGTGTGATGGTTTTAGTAGGCAGTGAGGGTATGCGCCACGCTTTTGTGCCATATATTATGCCCTAATATTTTGAGAAATCATCTCGGCCTTATCACAGCACATTGAAGCTAGCTTTATCTACACAGGATAACTTCTACTGTAGCACAGCCCTCCACGGGGAAATAACACAAACTTATGGGCGATTATTTTGGTTATTTGGGCACGCCGCTCTTGCAGGTACAAAAACGAAGGACTCCGCAAGGGTGACATATTCCTAGCCTACCTGCCGCTGATGCATGCTGCCCCAATGTGGCTTCTTTTCACAATGCTCACCCATCATGTTCAAGTTGTGCTAGTGGCAGCCAAGGACCTGGCCCAAGTGCTTATGCCCATTCCGAAATACAAGGTAGGTAAAACTAAGCGCAGCATTAGGTCAGTCTACTCTCAGTGTGAAGAATAATAAGTAGCTAACGTGGTTGCTTGGGCGAGTTGGTACGACATGATTCACATAAATAACACCGCCAATAACGAGAGACAAGAAAAAGAAGGAGACAGACAGCGGCACTGAACTTACAACAAGATTTATTTGCCAGAACCGCACAATATATACTTGGGCAATATCTAACAAAAAAAGAAAATACAAAACAAACACAACAGAATCCACCTAACAACCACATAGTCATCTTCACAACGCACCATGAGCAGCACGTGTGCTAACGTGCCGAAGAAAATCTATTTCTTTTAATGATAGCGCAATCGAAGGCCTGCTGACACATGCACTGCCCAGCCTTTCTATTTCTGAAGCCTCATAAATTTCACGTATCAACTGGTTCCGATGCCGCCTAATGACGGTACAAAGCTGAAAATCAGGGACACAGCCGCAGTCTCGGCAATGAATGCCGAGGTGGCCCGAAACTGTAGAGGAGACGTTGTGAGCGTGCTCTTTCAGCCGCTCATTTAAACACCTGCCTTTTTGGCGGATGTACCACTTGCCGCAAGACAAGGGTAGTGAGTACACCACTCCTTCAATGCATGGAACGTTCTTCTTTCGATGCTTGACTTTGCAGCCTCGCTCGCCCCTCGAACCAGGATTCACGGCTCTGCACAACCTAGCCAGTTTTTCTGGGGCAGAAAAAACCAGGTCTACGTCGCACCTGCTGGCTACTTTTTTGATATTGTGGGTGACGCCGTGGATATAGCGAACAACGACGAAGTTTCGTTTCCCACGTCCCTTATCCTTTGTACGGTTCTGAGCATTATTTTCTGGGCTCGTTCTGATTTCTCTGAGTAGACACTCAGCAACGGCGGTCAAAACGTACATCGGGAAACCAGCTTCTGTATGGCGTTTAGTTTGCTTATTAAAGCTGGACAGAATTGTGTGATAGCAGAACTTTCGCAAAGCGTTTGTCTTCGCAAAGCGTTTGTCTTCACAAAGCGTGTTGTGTTTCGCAAAGCGTTTGAAGAATAATAAACCGTGCTACCAAAGGCGCGAAAAGTACAAAGAAAGTAGACGACTGGAAATGCTGCGCAAATGTAGTTTCTTAAAGAAGCCTTGCTAATCTATTTCAGCAAGGTAAAAAAAAACGTTGCCAAGTGAGGGTAGAGCCTTTCTAAAACACGCCAGCCAAATGTTTAGCACAGCTGGCAGCCTGGAATATAGAATAAATAATCAAAGCCAGCTTAAAATTGGTTTCCTTTCTCTCAACAGATGACAGGAGAAGATTAAAAATAAATCGTCACAGCCGTTTCATTAGACATTGGCTCATTTGAGCATGGCACGTTCTGTCGTTGCAGAGATGACTGGGCAGGCCGTGACTCGTCCACGTCTGCGCAAGTGATCGCACCGGAAAGCCACGCATTTGAAGTAAAATAATAAAATATACAAAATGACGAGGTTCGCGTGATGTATTTGCTTTCCCTGTGTCCTTCCGGCCTGCATAGCTTCCACGTCATTTTTGGAGCGAGAAAAGAGAGAATGCGATTGCAGCGTGGAACAATCTTTTGCAACTACGCTCGTAGCGGACAGCTTCGAAAAAAATTTTGGCGGTGAATTCTTCAGGCATTAACATCCTTTGGTGAGTTCATTCCATGGCTACCTAGATGATGATGACGATGCTCCTTGGATCATTGGCACCTACGCACTATGGAGAATCCGTCATGAGAAGGGTGGATTATACATACTGGATTCATATTTATATTTTGTAGAAGCTAAAATAATATTGATATAATCTTTTTATTGTAACGTCATTTATGAATGATTGTAATTTTAAGTTGCACTATTTTGTTTAATCTCCCGGAGACTTAAGACCTTTTGACTAGGAAGGCTGAATAATAAATTTCTAGTAGTTTTCACCTACCTAATCTATACGAGTCACATATGAACTTTTTCACTGTTTTGAAAATATTCGTGTCCGAATGTCCCAGCCTATCAGCGTGTACGCAGCTTGTTGAGACAGTTCATGATATTTCACAAATACTTTCATTTTTCAAGCCAGGTTGATTTATTTTCTTAGATTTTGGCAAGGCATTCAACCGCGTTTTTCAAGGCAAACTTCCCTTAAAGCTCCGAAACTTGAATTTACCATCTGTTGTCATAAATTGGATACATGCATATCTTTCAAATCGCGCACAGTAAATTGACGTGGGGCGACATACTTTTAGCACATGACCGGTATCGTTAGACGTTTTACAGGAGAGTGTTTTAGGGACTATTCTTTTTTTATATACATAAATTACATATCCGACATGGTTGAGTCTACTATTCAAATCGGATTGTTCGCTGATGACGGCGTTTTGTATAAAGTGACATGCCATCAGGATCACGTTGATCTAAGTCTTGCATTAACACAAGATAGTGAGGGGTGTACTCGGTCGTCAATGACAGTAAACCCTGACAAAACAATACTCCTACGTGTGACAAAAAAATGACCGCAGTTTCCCGAGTGGGAACACTGGGTAGCATGTGGAGCATATATGTTGAACTGCGATAAATGTGACATGTAATTTGCGTCATGCGTGTGTTTTGAGTGAGCACGAGAGAACACGAGTGAACACGCATGCACGTATGCTGCGAAAGACGATTTTTATTGATTAGACGATTTGGGTATTTTGAGCATGATGGCTTTATGTTCCGTAAAGTGAAGGGTGTTGCGACGCCGGGTCCTGCGCGTCTCAGTTTGGTAGCGGGCCCCTGTCCAAGGACCCATCGTCGAACAAGTCAGATGAGGCGCTCGTAAAAACGACAGCAATTTACTTACACAATTAGCAACTGAGAGTTAGAAAAGAGGTGATCAAGTGATCAGAACTGTACTAGGGAACTGTTGAACTGTAGAATTTAAAATACACAAAAAGCCTTCCAACCCTGGGCGCATTATCCGTGGCTCCAGCTAATACGGCGCTCCATGGTCTTGGTTCTCCACCTGCGCGGGCGGGGAAAGAGACCAGACAACGCATGTGGAGAAGGCACAGTCTTCACGATGTCCAAACGTGGTCACAAACGCACTGCAACGAGTTTTCGCACACGTCACCAAGTTTCGCGCACGTCCGATGATTTTGGTTTCCAAGATTCTTCTGGCAGCTGGGAGAGGTTCGAAAAGCCGGCTGCCAGTACACGTGTCAAACTTGCCTGACTGTTTCGGTAGGACAATGTTGTGGTGGGCCAGCATATCGTCAAAATATGCCACCCCATTCAGCCGATCCTTTGGAGAAAGGGGGGAAGGAGATGCAGTCAACTAATCTCTAGTCGCCGAGGTGGGCTCCGGCAAGGGCTCTAGCAGATAGCGCAATATCCTTTTATTCACCCCCACATTCCATTCCTGGTTGTTTGCTAGAAGCTGTGGCTTAGCTGCACATATCCCGGGGCTCCGCTTCTCCTCACAAGTTGCAGCCACAACCAGTTTGGCTTTAGATTTCTGCCTGAACTGCAAATACCATGCTGGTTCCAAGATTTCCAGATCATCGGTGACCTAGAAAATGGCCCAGCTGCCTCCATGTCTGCCTTCAAAGCCTTGCCCGCAGCAAACACGATGGCCTTTCTTGAGTCGAGCTCGCAATGGCCTCTCTTGGCTCATAGGTTTCCTTTCCGCGAACCAGTCCCGAGCCCCTCGTTTTGGTTTTGCCGAAAGAAATTCAACCCGTCTTGACGGCACACCCGGGCTTGTCATGCGTCGAAATATTTTCGTCCCGTTCACAAAGGCCGAAAAACTTCAATACTGATGACGGTCGTAACAGTCTCTCGCGCGGTGGGGTGAAGATCTCGATGGGCTGAGGTTTGCAGCCACAGTTCGGAGAGATCAGCGCTGACGTCTGGTCTGGTGAAGACTGTCCTTGATGAAGTAGTGACCACCTGCTTCATTTTGGCTCAACAGACATCACATACGGGCTTGGCAGCACCGTGTTTGGGCGGTTGCTCATGAATTTCTACTTTTTCGTCCAGATCGCCCTGCTGCGGGTGGATTCCGTCGTTGGCCCGGCGGAACAATTACCACCGCAGGGAAACATCGTCGCGCCTGCGCCGGACAGCCCCGTCGACGAAGAACCATCATGGAAAGCAGCACCTCAAGTGCCCCTACCCTACCATGTGGTCAACCGAGTGACGTCAGCGGACACGCTTGAGCTTCAGCATAAAACCCGGAGCCATCTTCAGCAGTCTTTCAGTGGGCTTGACAGCACCATGTTCGGTCGGTTGCTCATGAATTTCTACTTTTTCGTCCAGATCGCCCTGCTGCGGGTGGATTCCGTCGTTGGCCCGGCGGAACTCTTCCCACCGCAGGAAAACATCGTCGCGCCTGTGCCGGACAGCCCCGTCGACGAACCATCATGAAAAGCAGCGCCTCAAGTGCCCCTCCCCTACCATGTGGTCAACCGCGTGACGTCAGCGGACACGCTTGAGCTTCAGCATAAAACCCGGAGCCATCTTCAGCAGTCTTTCAGTGGGTTTGGCAGCACCGTGTTCGGGCGGTTGCTCATGAATTTATACTTTTTTGTCCAGGTGGGTGAAAAACATTCTGTCTGCTCTATTAGGGTTGATTCGCTCACTTTAGTAGTGTTGCCGGGCCCACAGAGTCTGCTTTCTTCATTGTGTGATTGTTTGCTTGTTATTACGCTACTGCTGTTAACATCAGGTGATGTGGAGTTAAACCCTGGACCCCGCTCCGACTCAGAGACTGGTTCAGAAGCCACCTTAAATAGCCACCTCCTCAAGAGAATTCTAAAGGAACAAAGACCAACAAAGCGCTCACTGCTCTTTCCGAAAACTTAAAACACGTAGAAACTACAGTAGGCAACGTACAGGAAAGATTAACTGCCATAGAAAAAGAGTTAGCTCGCCTACAGCAATTCGAGGATTAACTCGCCGAGCATGAGGTGATGACTGTAGAAACAAATAAACAGGTGCGTGAGCTATCA